CGAGAGCCTCTGACCACCTAGCTCATATGTAGTAAATTTGAGCGGTACAGTACATACCTTCGTCATTTTCTTGGGGAACCTACAGACTGAGGCCGTCTCACAACTTATTCTAGCCACCATGAGTTGTCATGGCAGTTGGTGGATGGACGCGCGTCACACGTTCTAACCGCCCCTGCGTCTAATCCCATAGATTCTCATTCAAATGACAAGCAAGTAAGGCCCCCTTCCCACACTAATGGAACACTAGTAACTCAAAAGCACCTTGTGTGGTACCGTGCATTGGTCTACGCAATCGTTTGGCTTTTAAGTGAAAATATTACTACAGTCCTGCTAAACAACACGTGAACCTCCTATCTCCATCAAAGCGAATAAGTCTGTATTTGCTGCATACAACAATTTTATTTTTCGAATGTAAGACATAACAAGTAGGATTGGAGTAAGATGGCAGTATACAACAGATGCACATGGTACGACATGTCCTCACCGATTAACTGAAATAGAGAATACGGATATTGCTTTAACAGGGTAATTTTGAAAGACTAATGTCTGCTTTGGACTTACTGCGTGAGAAAGTTGTACTGAAACTACGAACGTTGTAGAAAGCGCGTTCCCCAGGGCGTACGAAGCACTCAAACTGGAAGACAGTTGTCCGAAAGTAATTCGGATATGAAGGTGAAACTTCGCAGATATTTTTCATTGCAAGGGTGAACATATTAGGTACCAGTTGACATCATAGCGTAAAAGGAATACAAATTTGAGAGTCGTGAAGTTTGATCTGTAAACATGTGAGCTTTATAACAGTTAATTACCCTTTTACTCCCTGATCATGACCCTCCGGCTTCCTTTTATGGCTAAAACAGCAAACATACACTACACACTGGTAGATTTCTGGCATTTCAATGTTAAGCTTGCTTTCACGCTTGACGTAACGAGTACAACCCCTCTAGTACTGCTATATGGTATATTTTTAATAAAAAACCCTCTGTAATAGATTGGTAGCATCTCTGACTTTGTCTACGGTTATCAGAAGTCTGGGACCTTTCGAAAACATTAGTGATATCCCTCACTGCTGGGCACTCAGTATTATTTTGACGCGTTGATGAGATAAAGTTGTCCATAATACTGAAGAATATTAAAAACCGTAGATCGTTTTCTTTCATTTCCCCCGTAACATCATAAACGACAGTTGGGAACAAACTGTGAACAGTTAGTCACAGGCGGCAGCAACATTTATTTTACCTAGAAAAAGCTAACTTAGGCTTTGGATATCTAAAAAACAATAGTCAAAACAAAACAGATTATCATTTTATAACATAAGACTAGCGAGCTTGCCTGAAGAAATACATTGACTTTAGTAGCAGCAACAAAAACCCAGAAAGCAATGTTGAATCGAAATAAATTTTACACCAACATTTAGAACATTACACTAACTGAAGCATTTTAGCACACTCAAACATTAAATTAGGTAGCTACACAAAAATAATAGCTAAAAAGACAAAAAAACGTGGAAAGTCGACCGCCATTGCTTACAAAGATGGCGGATATAATAATTCCCGCTTCATTCTGATTGGTTACTAAGCTGACAGCCACATTTACGGAATCAAGTTGCGTTTAATAGCAGCCCTTTAGAACCGAATGATACATTACACTGTTGTCTTCTAATATGAAGTATGAACACTTAGAACTAAGATATCAGCCCTCAAAATTACACTTGCAGGGGAATTTGCATGGCTATGGAACTAAATAAAAAGATGTTCTTGAATATCAGTAGACATGTGGGAGGCGTTCTGCTGCACTTGTAACTTATTTTGTTGCAAGCACAACATAAAGCCTCGCACAAGCCTACTGATGTTCAAGAACATCTTTTTATTTAGTTCCATAGACATGCGAATTCCCCTGTAAGTGTAATTTTGACGGCTGATATCTTAGTTCTAAGTGTCAACATCTCATATCAAAAGGCAACAGTATGACGTTTTTGCAGCTAATTTTATACAACAACAACATTGAAAAACAACCTTAAGCAAATACAATATGTTGAAAATAAAACTGGTCCTTTATTAAACTCGGAGTTGTGACAGACTCCAATGTAGATAGTCCTATGAGAATGCCTGACACTTTTCCATTGCTCACTGTTTTCTGCCTTCAGTGGCTGTGGATGATTTCAGTCTCGTTATTTGTTATCATCACATTTATTATCAACAATATTATTCTCACAACCCTGTCGTTAAGTCAAAAAATGGGAATACGTTTAACGCCTTCAATTATTGACCAATTATCAAGTAACCTAGGATATGTTGATACATGATGAAACTTTGACATCAGTCAACTGATCGTAATTAAAGTGATTCCTCATATTTATAGAAATTGACTGTGTCCAGTGTGTAGATAGACAACCAATTATTCTATAAATACAAATAGGTATATGAACACTTTGACAAATTTATGAAAAGGGCCCTAACTTGACATGTGAATACCTAACAAGGAAAGCACGTATATATTACGGCTAGTTTTGTTTAAGATACTACAACATCCAATCACTGTCAAATTAACCAAAACTAATGTAGTTAAACGACTGAAGTACTTACGCTGAATGATATAAAAAGCTTGAGAATGCGCTATTATGCCAAGAATCTAGTGTGAAGAAATTCCTTAACTTATGTAGTTCGTTCTCAGTTGCCCATTGAACTTCAAATAAAACGACCTTGTCGAGGTTACAGATTTAAGTTATATTACATGTTAACGTCCTCATTACTTACAATTCAACTATAGCTCAACATATCTCACTCACTATTATTGCTAACTTGATCCGTTAATTTAGTGGCCAAGTAATATTTTGGTTTGTTTTCTTTCGGTTAATGCTCCTAAAACCGAAATTACTTCAAATTTTATAAATGTTTCAACTCAACTAATGTTGATAGATTCATTTAATATATTGCGTATTCGTGACACACATGAAGAGAAAATGCCTGTGAATTTCTTCTTATCAATAGACAGTTATACAATGTCATCTTTAAAAGTTACTGATTTTAGGTGTGTAAATTATTTAAAGATACTACAAATATTCGGAATTTTGACAACGCCTTTACCCGTAACACCTTCATAATCAATGAGTGACGACTCTGTCAAACCGGAAGTCAGAAACGAAGTAATCCGAAGACATAGTTGAAAGGCTGTTGCTATGTTGAGAAGCGTTTCATCTATGTTGGTTAGAAGTTGCGAGGGATGCGTAGCATGGCGTGCCCATTTGAAACCTGGTGTGGTTGCATGATTGAGTGCCTTCAGCTAGAGCGTGTCCAGTAAAACTAATGAGGTAAACAGCAATGTCGACGTTTTACAGGACTAGCTAGTTCAGTTATTTATTTACCGCTATACATTTGTCAGTAGCTTACATGTCGGTCAGAAAATTGTACACAGTACTAAGATATAAACTCTACAATTTTTTGGAGACACAGATAGTCGTTTATCAACTCACCTTTCATTTTTATCTGAGATCATCGACTGAGTTACGACTATTCCATATCATCTTTGAGTTATGCATATACGAGTTACTGGGTCAAAGAAATGTAATTAATGGTCCCAAATTTATTTATTATCTTCACTTGGTATGCCTGTATAATTCAGTGGACTAAGAATTTTGTTTGTCATTATTAATACAGTAGGGAGTGTGTTTATTTTATTACATTACAGTGGTATTACAATGTCATACAGGTTTTCATACCGAGTAATCAATTCTTGGAACCTGTTGCGCAGAGAAGTGAATTCCCCCCTTCAACTGACTCATTCAAGAGAATACTAGACACTCTCAGAAACTTACTAGAAAAGGACTAACACAGGCTTTAGACCTTCTATCCTCAATATACAAATCTGAAACCTGAATTCGAAGTAATACATAAGGCCGTAAGTTCCCCTAAACTCTTAAAATCAAATCCTTTCACCCTATTCTACTGAGAATTAAAGGACAACATAGACATTATGTGATAAAAACTGTCTACATTGTCTTAGACATGGGCGCAGTTGCTAACTAACGATATTGGACGGTGTCACACTGTCTCTAATTGAGAATGGAAAGATACACTATTAGGTTTCGGCTAAGTGATTAAAAGGCGCCGTAATTACTACGAATTTTGAGAAGTAAAATTTGGTGGATGGTTGGTTTTTTGTCCAGCCCTACTTCGGAATCCTTATAATATCTACAAACCTTTTCATGGTTTTCTGACTTTCAACGAATCAAAATGTGATATTGATCAGGAAGCAAAGCAAACTGAATTGCCAGGCGACATTTTAATTGAGTAATATCAAAAACAAAGTTAATTCATCATCTCAAGAGCATACCTTAGGTGATTTTGGAAAGTTGAGTTGATGATAAAGCCCCTATTTTTAGACATAGTAAATGGTGTGATATTTTATCCCACATGTTCCACTATCAGTAGAAATTGTTTGCCTGAAATATAGGGTGAGCAGCGTCACTCACCTACTCTTAAGCTCTGTTATTTTAATCCGTCTTTGCAGTTTGAAAGTTCCGGTAGTCAAACTTGCCACTATCTATGTTTTTATCAATCTAGTTATGTTTATCCCGAAGGTTTGTTTATAACACCTAGGTGCAATATCTATTTCAAAGAAACTGTAAGTGTTGGTTTAACAAGTTCGAAAAAATTAAAAGGCTAAAAACGCTTAATGTATTTTTCTCGCTCAAGGTAGGATAAATTAATTACTATTAATAACTTCAAATTTCGTAACAAAAAACGAAATAAGTGGCATGCTTTTATTTTGCAAATACTGCAAATTTACTCAAAACATGAATTTAACACAAACATCAACGCTTCAGTTATCATTTGTGAAGTAATAAAACGTTTCGCATTTTCTATTTGTAGTTTTGGTGAAAGTTTGCCAGGTAAATAAAGAAGACAATCTTTATCATGCACTTCCGAAGAAAAGTATTTTTTAATTTCCACCTTCGAACTCTTTCTAAATGTATTGTTATCTTGATACTTACATGTTTCATGTTATTCAGTTTTTATGTCACAAATCGAAATAAAAATCATCTTAATGAAATTGATGTGGAAGACGCAGGCATAGAACTTTATGATTTTGGTGTTAATATTGTTGTATTTAAAAATGTTTTCATTGATCCATCTAAAGTCGTTGGTGCAATTGGAGGCGAAGATCCTCTGAAAGTCGCTAACCAACCAGAATCTTATGAACTCTTGGATTTTCAACATGGATTTATTAAAACTAGTGTTAAACCAAATATAAAAAGGTTAGTCAAGGAGTTATTTTTATTTATCCTAACACTTAAAGTTTTAGAATTATTTATTTACTCAGTGTACTCATCAGTCTATAATCTTCCATGTTAAATGTCTATCAATGAATAGAATTTTAGTGTAAATATCTTTAGCTAATGGTGGTACCAACATTTTTAGATTTTTAAACCTTCTATATGTATCTCTGAGTTGATGACGAGTTGAATATATGGTCTACACTTTTAATTGTCTACAGTGACAGATGTTTGTTATGCTACAGAAATATTTTAAAAACATTTCAATGTACTAGGTTGGACTTCCAATGGTCATTTGATATGATTTACATCAACTTTTATTCACTGTCACTATTGCATAAACATCAATCTATAATTTTAGAGATTGAATTTTTAAAATATAGTTTGTATTATCATACATCCCATATCGTCATTTATAGACCTACGTGGATGTCTGAAATGCCTAAAATAAGTTTCATTTGATCTCCATTGCATTTAGAATACATACTGAGGATCCAGATAATGAGAGATTAAAATTTCTCCTTATTCGTTTATAATGGTCTTTAGGATCGAGATATTGTCATAATTTACCATACAATTATTTTTGGGCTTATGAACTTCACCAGAAAAAGTTTTTTTAGAATTTATTTATTGTCATTTTATACTTGGATGTATTTTCGTCAGCCAAGAGATTTGCATACTGCTACCATAATAGGAATTTTTATTACTGTCAATCATTTACAGAAATTCGTTTGATTTTGAGCATAAGACGTTGGTTAAGCTTTATGGTGAAAGTATTAAGAAAGTCATACAGTTGAGATGGGGGAATAAATTTATGGCTCAGATGGATGATTTTGGTATAAGCTTTTTCTCTGGACTGGATGACTTGATTTTGGAGCATCCGATGTCATCCGTGATCAAGCTACTTAACTCAGAGGACAAAACTCGACCAATCTACCTATCTATCTACCCATTTACAGTAATAACAAATGCTCAAATGCCCTGGTACGGCAGAGATTGGGAAGAGTCCGCTCTTCCTCTCGAAATTCTCCCACATGGCCATGCGTATATAACCTCTGCCAGGGAAGTCCTACTCATTGCCTTCTCGCATCACGGGTGTTGTTTACGAAATTGAGAGGACGAGAAGCGAATGTCAGACAGGAGCTTTAACCGGGTTGTTGGACATGGGTAGTCCGCATAGGGCAGTTGGAAAACCTTGATTCCAAACCAGTGGTGCACATGGGCTCCAGTATCCTGAAGGAACAAATGGCGTATAAACCAATCGTTGGTTACCGGCTACCATCGGACTGCATCTCCTGACGATGCTCCACTGCCTAGTGGATCAGATCTTCAGGTCGAAGGCTCGGTCGGGGTGTGTTCCCTTAAGAAAACCACCTGCTTTGGTTTAGGCACCCGGGCAGTATCATAGCCCTCACACAAATAAAATTAAAAATTTGTGTGACGCATATGTATTTGGTGCCTCCTTTTACCAATATCTATGTGTTAAAATAAATAAATAACAAATTTAACAATTTATATAATTACTCCTTGTTAAGATATGACCACACATCATAAGTGATTGAAAAAACCATAGTTCAATCACAATCCAGTCAATTAAGTGCTTGCTTACGATATCAAAACTATTTTCATAATGAAAATCATGGACAGTTCTTACTTATACAACCGTTAAAAACCAGAAAGTACTGGACAACTAAACCATTGGATAACGACTCAGAGATCTGAAAGTTTGAAAATCTTTTATGAGAAATAAAATTTCTAGATTCTATCACTTGTAAATGGGTTATGGTTAAGCACTATCACTAAAGTGTCTCACCCTACGATAGAACCTTCATATGGTGCTTCTGAGTTTTTAACAGTTATGTAAATAAGATCAAACCATGATGCAAACTACAAGAGTTCGGCAATTCCAACAAACTCCTATCCTTTAATGCTAACTAACAGTTTATGTTTGATCATATTTATTAAATAATTGAATTTATTTAATAGAAATAAACAACCAAAATAGAACCATTATTGGTCTTAGTATTTTATTGTTATTATTGTTATCATTGGGACCGTAAATTGACCTCGTTTAGGTTACTTACCATGTCATTGTTTTTGCATACATTCAACAAAAACGACTCCATAGTAAACATCAATTATAATAATAATAATAATAATAATAATAATAATAATAATAGCGACTATTGTTATTATTACTGTTAGGGCGTTATTCACTGTTTTATCATCTTTATCATTATTGTTTACATTGCATAGTTGCACATGTTATATAAAATAATTAGAACATTCTGTTGCAGGACAATAGATCATAGGTGTTTTTTTACATCATTTTTTTCGCATAAAAGGCAAAAGAGAGCTAAATGGTATAAATTTGACCATGTTTATATGGAATAGATAGTGTGGTTAGTAGTAGAGTCTATAATGTCTACTTCGTTCAATCTAGTACACGTCAGCTGAATCACTTGCTTGCCAGAATTGATGCTAACTAACATTGATTAAAAATCAGTCAAAATATCAACAATAGGATAATCTAAACTGTTACAAATTCAATCAGAATTCTTACTCATTTCAAAAGTTGATAGCTGTTTTGACTCAGTGGCTAAATGGATAACTCATTGACGTTTGAAGCACAGATAATAAGTTCGAGACTCAGAGCGAACATTAATTCAGGCGCAAATGAACCCACTTGACGAGTCTCCAATAGAATCAAGCACAGGTTCTGAATTGAACTACTGATCACTTTTTATCTGTTTCATATCAACTTGTATCATAATGGCTATTGTCGAGGTGATCCGTACGACATGCTTACGAACCCCTACTAAGATTGATCGGTATTCGGTCAAACTATCAACAAATTAATAATCTAAACCATCACAAATTATATTCTGATTTGATAACAACTTATTTTGCAAGTGATTAATATTAATTGGTACGGAAAAATCGTATACAAACTAGATACAGCTAAATAGTCGTTTTATTTGAGTTATATATTTTTCAGAGATGTAAACCTAGTATTAATATTCCAAATACTACTACTACTCGCACCTTTACTGCTACTTATAGTCACTTTGCTATTGCTACTACTAAGAACCCCAGATATTTTAATGGAGGCGTTGTACTCTATGGATATGAAAAATGATCTGTGGCAGTGGAAGATTTACGTTTCCTGCTGATTTTTCATCAATCATATTCTTGAATCATTACTGGCACATATTATGAACGATCGAGTGAGTAATCTTAACGTTAGACATAATATACTAAGAAATGACGATAGATCCGCTGATGAGGTTGTATATGTTTATTCACTAAACTGGTTGGAATACGTATTGAGTACGCGTAACTTTCGTCTACTTCGAAAGATGATATTTCCTTATGTAGAAGAAGACTGGAAGAAAGGTAGAGGCAACTAAATCAACATATGGTATCTTTTCATGAATTCATTGACGTTTGGTCTGAGTTATGTTGGTTGGCCCAAACTAACTGGTTGGAGTCCGCAAGATCATAGTAACTATTACATTATGTAATAAGCTGATGCATTTACTCTTTTTCTTCTTGTCAACCTTCACTTCTAGTATTCCGTTATACATATCCTCTATCTCTGTCTTTAAGAAACATATTTCCAATCTGTAATCATTCTTCTTATGATTATTTCGATTCTTCACTACTTATTTTTTTATCAGTTTCGTCTCTTAATGGTGACACGTATATAAGTTAGGATAATACATTTCTGTATCGATCCTTACTTTAGTTATACCTGACCGATTGACTGATTTTCCTCAAACTAAACAGGGTTAATTCAAGTGAAGGTGATAATTATTGTTTAATAATTACTACCAAACTAAGACGAGTACATTCACAATTGATTGATCACTGGGTGACCAATGTCATGCGTGTCTAGTCCTTATTATTAGTGCAGATCGAATGTTATCGATTATGTTGCATTGTGGCCACCAGTCTAGGTGACTCGACATTGCGGGCACTATTGTAAGATTAGATGGTGGTTGGAGGTAGTCGACAGGAAACCCTGGACCCGGGTTTCGTGCTACTTGGCACTCGTCAGCAAGGTGTACCTGTAATCTTTGAGGGAACTGGTTCTCCCTGGCGAATTCGATCCCGTGTCACCCAGCTTCACAGTCAGAGACGTTAACCCGAATTATTCTTATCGATCTGCACTAATAATAAGGACTAGACACGCATGACATAGGTCACCCAGTGATCAATCAATTGTGATTACATCTCAGTCTTACAGGAGGTCGGTCGTGGCCCGGATAGCTCAGTGGCAACGTCTCTGACTGTGAAGCTGGGTGACACGGGATCGAATTCGCCAGGGAGAACCAGTTCCCTCAAAGATTACAGGTACACCTTGCTGACGAGTGCCAAGTAGCACGAAACCCGGGTCCAGGGTTTCCTGTCGACTACCTCCAACCACCATCTAACGAGTATATTCAGCTGAGAATAAAATTTTATGCATATCTGAAGGTACACATTACCTAATAAGTTATGGGAAATATCTTTTTGTCGTTTAATTTCTGTTCCATTGTGAAATTGATATCATAGAAGACATTGTTAATTAGCCTGTAGGTGTTTTCCAGTTTAACCTGTTTGAAGATGACGAATGTGTCATCCACATAACGAATTCAAATTTTTGGTTTGATTACTGGTAAGATCAAAGCTTCTAGTCTCTTCATCACTGTTTCAGCGATAAATCCTGATAATGGTGATCCCATCGGTGTCCTTTTTGTTTGTTCATGAATTTTGTTGTTGAATTGAAAATATTTTGTTAAGCATAAATCGATAAGTTCTAATAAACTTTGACTTTAAAGCTTCATTTACTTTATAAGTACACGAAGAAATAAATAGATTGTTACTAGCAATAGAATCCAGAACATACGTTTTTTTTCTATTTAGGAGTTATTAACTAAATGTACTTATGTCCATGTTCATGTTCACTCTGAGACTCGAACCCAGTACCTTTTGCTTCA